ATAATTTCCAGATGCATGATGCAAAATTGCGTAAAAAAGATTACTTACATTTTATTATTTTTATTCCAACTTTTAAATAAGTTCGATACCTTGTAGTGTGATTTTGTTCTTTGTGCCACTGATTATAAGTACATTTACTTTGGCAATCGACAGAAGTATAAACAAATTTAAGCAGTTTCTCTTATTATACTGAAACCTGTCTAATCCAACATGCACTGGAAGACAAATTTTGTGTCGGAATAGACAGGGTGTCGGATTGCACAGTGTTAAAAACAAGGAAAAAACTAAAATTGGAAAGAAATTTAACGTCGGAATTCACAGTGTGTCGGATTATTCAGGTGTCGGATAAGACAGTTTTCACTGTATTTAGAAAAGAAAAGAAAATTAATATAAGCAATGTATCTATATATGTATATAGCTACATGTAGTATTATTTTGGAATTTGAACCTAAATATCTGCAATTGCAACTTTGTAATTTGATTTGAATTGGTGCAAGTGTCGCATAAATTTTGGAGGGCACCTAGAGGCCAGAATAATTACTTCTTTTTCAAAGATTGAATTTCACCCAATTTATACTTTTTCACAAAGAGATTCAATATATTAAATCATACTTTACACGAACGATGGTTGGTTATTTTTGTTTTGGCACCCCCTCCCCAAAGCAAAAAAAAAAAAATCATTCATTATTTTATATAAGAAAGTCTTGCTATTTTATAGAAAATGATATATAAAATATTTCTTAAACATAAATGTTCATAACTTGGCAATAAGATGTTTATGGCAAGTATTTGAATAATACTGATGTTGCATTTTTTTTTAGAATTGAGGCAAGTGAGGCAAATGCCTCACTTAATTTTTAGAGTTTTATGAAAAGTGAAAAATTTACATGCATTGAACTTATTAATTATGTGTGTCTTCATGCTAAATTAATCTTAATTTTTAAATTTTGTCTCAATTTCTGTAAATCATTCATTCCACCAGAAGCCTCATTTTCATTTAGAATTCATCTAAAATATAATTCAAAAATGTTTGTTTTGTAAATTGTTCGATTGTTGAACATCCCTTCTAAAAATTTCCCACTCATATTGAGACACCATTACTTGCCGGTGGAAAGCTGAAAGTTTTTAATTTGTACTGGGCTTACAGGGTCTATGAAGATGATTAAACAGTGAGAATATTTTTGTGCCATCACCTTCATAGGACGTCTGTTTATACGGTCTCATCCGAAGGACTGGTCTCTACATCCGGCAGTGGGATTCGAACCCGCGACGTAGGGATTTGCTCCATAGTCTGCGACTCGAGAACATACATTCTAACCATTGTGCCATGCGGGCGACGATTCAAAACGTTCTTTAAGATTAAATATTTTATTTTCTAATATCCAGGTTTCAGGATACCCGCCTTCCTCCTGGAAACCCCTAACACTGGCCATAAGGTACCACCCCTGTACCGTTTGGGACTAGGAATGCCCAGCATCCTTGCCTGACTATAAATTAGAACCTAGTTACGGCCTTGGAGTTGTAAATGCATTAAGTTTGATAGGCATTTTAATTTTCACACCTAGGATAATTGCATCATTTGTTGAAGCCATAATTGCGGTTTAATATACACATTCTGACTTGGGTATGTTGTGAATTTCACAAGGGAAATGACCGTTAGGGATTAGCAACGCTTCATTGCTCAGGAAACATGTGCACCTGTTGATCAACTGAGAGTACGTCTGAGAGTTTATTATACAACAAATCATGTACAGTTGTGTATATGTATTTAAAACAAGATGTGTTTGTAAAACACTGATGCCCCCGTATGGCAACATAGCCAATATATTAAGCTTTTCTTAAATTCAAATTTAATTAATTAGTACCAAAAGTAGGGTATTCTCACTGGAAAACAATTGTGAAATTTGAAAGTAAGCTAATGTTAAAGCTTTTTAAATAAAAAAAATCTCCAAGGTCAAGGTCAAAAGGTCAATGTAATTAGTATCAAATGAAAGGTCTTGCCACATAAAATACTTTTGTAGAGCATGAAAGCCCTAGCCCTTACCGTTCAGAAGGTATGGTCAACGTTCAATTTCTTAAAAAGTAGGTCAAACTCCAAAGTCAAGGTCAAAGGGTCAAAGTTATTGTTATCAAATGAAAGGTCTTGTCATAATGATCAAATATGTTAAGTATGAAAGCACTAGCCCTAACTCTTTAAAACTTATGGTAAGGGTTTGCTTTTTAAAAGTAGGTCAATCTCAAAGGTCAAGGTCAAAGGGTCAAAGTTCTTGGTATCCAATGAAAGATCCTCTCATAAGGATTACATGTATGAAGTATAAAAGCGCTATGCCTTACCGTTCAAAAGTTATGGCCAAGGTTAAAGTTTTTTTACAAGTAAGGAAATCTACAAGGTCAAGGTCAAAGGGTCAAAATTGTTGTTATCCAGTGAAAGGTCTTTTAACAAACATTATATATGTGAAGTATAAATGTCCTGGTATCTACTGTTCAAAAGATATGGCCAAAGCAAAATTTTCAAATTTTCATGTAAAAGTGGGTCAAACTCCAAGGTCAAGGTCAAAAGGTCAAATTTGGTGGTACCCAAAGAATGGTCTTGTCATAAGAATCAAATATGTATAGTATGAAATTACTGGCCCTTACTCTTTAAAAGTTATGGTCAAGGTTTGCTTTTTTAAAGTAGGTCAAGCTCAAAGGTCAAGATCAAAGGGTCAAAGTTCTTGGTATCCAATGAAAGGGCTTTTCACAAGGATTACATGTATGAAGTATGAAAGCCCCATCCTTTACCATACAAAAGTTATGGCCAAGGTTATAGTGAAAGGTCTTTTAACAAACATAACATATATGTGAAGTATAAATGTCCTGGTGTCTACTGTTCAAAAGATATGGCCAAAGTAAAAATTTAAAATTTTCATGTAAAAGTGGGTCAAACTCCAAGGTCAAGGTCAAAAGGTCAAATTTGGTGGTACCCAAAGAAAGGTTTTGTCACAAGAAATACACATATGAAATATGAAAGTCATAGCTCCACTAAATCAAAAGTTATGGGCAAGGTTAAAGTTTTTCTGAAAAATTTGACGGACAGACAGACAGATAGGCATGACAAAAACTATATGCCCCCGAAACTTCGTTTACGGGGGCATAAAAAAACATGTACAGAAGTTAATTTTATAAATCAAGTTTAGATAAAATAATTTTTTTACTGATTTTATTCATTTTTTTACACACAAAAAAAAAGATGTTTTGATGGGGGTAATGCAACGACCTTTTAGTGTTTCAATATACATGTATAGGTTAACAGGTATTAATTTTCTTGGATTCATCAAAATTAGTTTCAATTCATCCATAAAAGTAATGCATCTACTGAATTACAAAATTACAATAATTTAAGTGGGATCACTAATGTCCAATACATAACTTTCTTTAATATTTTGTAGTGGAAAACATGATAATATAAACACAAAACTGACATATTAAATTTGTAAATAAATTCTTTTTAAAACGATGAACCTCTATCTAAAGGTCACCCCTCTATAAAGGTCACTTTTGATGGATCTCGTGGATGACTTCTTAATAGAGGTTTTACTGTATAAAATTATCCGTCAGTACTCCTCACTTCTATAATTTTATTTCTATACATAGAAAAAGTACTTGGCTTTGATGTACGGGGGACGCTCATCTGTATTATAATCATATTTGATAAAATTATGTACATGAATATAACTGAATATTTAAACAGATATTCTTAAGAAATTGTTTCAATTCAGCATAATGATTTTTTTTATTAGAAAACATGAATAGGTGAGAATAGTTAACCGGGGACTTTCTAATTATATAGAAGTCACAGGTGCTTATTAAATAAATGAACATATAGTTTTGTATAGAAATACCGCAATATGATAGTGAGACTGTAATTCTTTGGAGGTTTAGAGAGCACAGATTTTGTCCTTAAATAGTGAAAGTAAATAATTTGAACTTCACAGGCAAAAGGATATATAATCCGACCTTCACTGATATTCTTTTTCGGTTTTGGTGTCTCATGTAAGTTTAAATTACAACGAGAGACCGGATTACGATGTGTTTATCGGATGTATTTACAAAAAAACTCTCTGATTAAATATTTCCTTGGTACTCAAGTACTTTCATATGTAACAATGGATTTCGCTTGACTATGTTTAACAAAATCTTGTCTATCTATCTATAGCATTTTTTGTACTTAAGTGATCTTTTTTGCAACAACAAAAGTTGTTATGATTTGTTTTTCATGTTTTTTCTCCTTTTTTTACTTCTCAATAGGGAATTTAATTTTACAAAGCATTTTCTTTTCTCCTTCATACAGAATCTGTTTATTGCTTTATACCTTAACAGTTACAGGCTTTAATGCATACATCATATATTACCGGTATGTCTTTATTATGTAAGATCCATATATACAATGTAAAAGAAAAGGCGACACTCATACTACAAAATGATGAGTCATACTCTATCTATGTAGTTTAAACAGTATTGAAAAAACAAAATTGTACAGTAGTGTTACGGTTGATTCTCTACACTATCTATGGGAGATATGCATTTTTTGAAAATAATTTTCTGACAATTTATATTAAAAATGCCAGGTTTTTTTAATAATTAGAGTTTTTTAACGTTGCAAAAAGTCTCAATTAATAGATGTATTGTAATTATAATTCAGTATTTTTGAAAATACACTCATACACGGTTCAGCATCTAAAGTAAGTCTTTTGGCAAAAGAATAAAAATTCTAAAATGTTTCGAAGTTGGGGAACATTAAGGAAAACATTATTTGCAATACAATTGATGCATTAAGATACCGACAATATATTTATACACAAAAATATAGCAAAACAAATACACAAGTTCAAACTTAATTACAAAAAAATACAATAGTAAAATAAATTAACACTTATATATTTAAAAAGTATTTTTCATGAAGCTTATGATAATAAAAACGGGAATGAAAAAAATATAGAATATAACTTTTAAAATGTGTCTCTGCACAGTATTAGACACGACTGCATTTTCGACAAGTGAATATGGATTCCATCTTCGTTTTACTTATCGAACCATAATTATCAATCTACTTAAAAGTAGATGTTAGATTCACTAGCATACTCGCCACACAAACATCTAACAATATTCCATCAAGGGTCATGTCTGAGATTAAATTATATCAACAAATAAAATTACCTCTTGCAAAATCAATGCTCAACTGTTGAAGCGAGTACAGTGTAAGTCTTTGATCTCTAAGGTGACCCTCTATGGGATGTTGTAGATGTTTGTGTAGCGAATATGCAAGCCGATCTAACATCAATTTTGATAAGATTCCGTCATTATCATATTTTTCTGTCATTACTTCTGAACTGTTAACATTAAATTGTTCAGAATAACATACAGCTTGTATTGTTTTCTCGTATCACAGTCGTTTCTACAACAAAAAAAAAGAAAAAGAAAAAAAATCACCGAAAATTTAAAAAAAAATCTCAAGTGCAAAATACTGTAGAAGTACTTTTTCCACGTGGTATCAATATACGCTATGTACGCGGTCACAAAGAACTTTGTTCGGTACTAACCAATATTTGCCCCCAAAATCAAACATTGACGGAGAATTACTTAGTTATGTTTTTGAACAGGGGGATATATGCTGACTTCAAAGCACTGAATATTTTTCATAAGTTATGACGTCATATTTTTGAAATGACGTCACGAAAATGATGTGAATTAAAAATTTTCATAATTTCTACAGAAAAATGTATATATTACGTATATATATGTATATTATTATAATTATATTATATATTATTATATTTTGAGTAAAAGTCACCTAGCGCATGTCTGATCAGGCTTAATATTCTGATATAATATGTAGAATGATAAAATCAATGAAATACGTAAATATTGTTCCTGACCAAACTTGCGCTCTATAAATTTTAAAGCTAAAATTGTTGAAATTTTGTCAATTTTGACCTTTTTCTAAGAAATGATAGAAAATCGGATTAGTTTGTGACGTCATAAAAACAAAAAAATTATAGAAACTACTTTGAAACTATAATATGTTCTGTTAATTTATATTCCTCAAACAATTTATAGAATTCAGCACTTTTCAAGAAATTTTCAAAATTTGACTTTGTGGGGGCAAGATATACAATATACTGCATATAGTTCTTTCCTCGGAAATTTGTCCAAGTGTATCTAATATAAATGTAAGGCCTATTTTAACAGTCAACGAAATCCGCGTAATTTTCTACTCGTGGATTAAACAGAAATTGAGATTCCGCGGAATTATGACCCTGTGGAAAAAAGTACGTCTACAGTTCATTAAAACTCGTTAAAAACGAAGTCACTGGAATCTATGAAACTACTTCGTTATAACAGTTACTGTAATACGTTATATCCGTCCAAGGAATTCATTTATGTTTTTCCAAAAGAAATATATATCCAAAGTAAAATACAAACAATTACAGCATGGCTTGCGGGGCAAAATTGGACAACAAAAGCACTTCAACTTGACAAAATTATAGGTGAATAATAAACATGTATGTCATTAAGAGTAAGCCCTCTTATCATAGTATCGATATAACTTAATGGTGGTTTTTTTCTAAAAAGTAATGCTACCTTATGCAGGGAATGGAGTAAGATGAACAATAGCTACTACATAAGTGATGAGGACTCCGAGAGCAATATATAGCCAAAGATATTTTTCGTCAACAATTTCCTTTTCTATAAATGAAAACAGATAACAATTTAGATACAGTTTATCTTTATAAAAAATGATCACAGGATTAATGTCCTAGCCATAATAATCAATATTTAAAAAAGTAAAAAAAGCTTCGCCCGTTATGCAAATTATCCCATGTTTCCCACTATTGTTGATTTCCCTGGCATACTTTCAAAACTAGACAGTGATTCCTTATATTTACATTTCACTGTGAAATATATTTGTAGACTAAGACATTAAAAATGTAGACTAATAGATTTAAATTACACGAGGACTTCCATGCCAATTTCAATAGTCCTCGCACACTGACGTCAAACACAAAGGCGGCCGCATGAGATTTACATGCATATGTGGCCTCCTTAGCGTCAGACACAGAGACAGATGCGCACGAGATTTGCATGCGTATTAGGCCTCCTTAGCTGCTGACCTATCGACCTGCCTATTTTACATTCCGGCAGAATTATCAAGAAATAAGTTCCCAAAACTTTCAAACAAATATCACAGAGAAAAAAATTAGAAATGGAAATATTTACTTGTATGCTCATGTAAGAATATGAAAGATTAAAATTTCCAAAATATGATATTTTTTTTGGTTTAAAACAAAATAATGCATTCTAAGGACTTTTTGATTCGTTTGATGCTCAAGTAGGAGATTTGGAAAACATATAAAATTTGAATTTCAAGCTTTTTGACACTGATTGCCCATAACTCTGCTTACTTATAATGACGATGTTCTTACATTGGTATTAAGATAAAGAGTGATCTAATTCATTCAAAAAATTTACGCATCTTTAGAAAGTGATAACCATATACAAATTCTTTAGTATAAAAATCAAATATTTTCCTTCATTAACACAAATTTGAAATAAGATGCAATACATGTATTTTTAAAGAATAATTTACCCAGTCTACAATGATGCCCAATATATCGGAGTTTACATTCATGACAGGCTCCCGTTTCGATGTGACAGTAAGGATGTAAGCAGTTGCTGGGACACGGAAGTGAACAGTTTGATCCATAGAATTTAGAGGATTTGCAGCCTAAAGGTATTATATGGTCATATCTTATTTGGTTTTGTTCAAATTAAAATACAAAATACAAAGGGCAGATATATATATATATATATATATATATATATATATATATATACATATATATTGTTTGTTTCATAATAATTTGAATAAAACTAGTCGGCAAAAAATCTACACACTTATCTTAAGCAATTGGAACTATATTTTCAATGCATGGATATCTTAAGATATGTATCTTTTTTAAGGAAATTTATACGAACTAAATAAATTCAACAATACTGCCAGTTTCAAAAATATTCTTATTGCATGTTGGGAGAGCTGCATGTGTTCCAGTAACATGAAACATACCTAACACTTCCACTTTGCAAAAGGCATTGAAATCATCATCAGAAAACCGACTTGCAGAATATGAGTTTTGTGGTCTCTTATTGTAGTAGATGACGAATTGTCCGTGTACAGGGCACGTAATATTGACAACTGCTGGTATTGTGGAATTGTTGTTGGTTGTGTCGTGGAAGCATAAGTGACCATCAAGTCTGTTTGTTGTGCTTGAAATGTATAGATGAAATCCTTGAAATCTGGAGGCGAACTTGTTTTGAAAATCTGGGAAAATACAAACCCGTTAATACATAAATATATTCCGTGTCAACGAAAAAAATAATCATAAAAGATATTGATGACTGCATAACCCTTTTTTATGTTCTGTAATGTCATTATTATAAAATTATTTATCTTTTTTTTCATTACTAACACTATTGATTTACATGTGAAATAAATATCAAATAAATTCTTCCCGGTATACGACTTGGGACTAAAATTAAGATTTGTATTGAAAACTCCGCAATATTGAACCTTTGAAGCAGGGGACCTCGGTTTAAAGGTCTTATGCGAATGTGAAAGAGTTTTAAATTCTTATAGCAAGTGTGTGTATATAATAAGTCTATCTTTAGATTCAATCAGCAACGTAACAGTTACTCTCAGCGAAGATAATGTATCTACCCTCAGTGCAACAATGTTTGCACGTTAGGTATCAATCATCCCTATGACAGTGTATTGTTGCCTTTGAAAGAACTACAAACTATTGTTACTCATCAGCACATTTCCACGTCGTCATCGTCGTAGAGAGAGAGAGAGAGAGAGAGAGAGAGAGAGAGAGAGAGAGAGAGAGAGTTGAATAAAAAGGTCTGAGGTAGATATATAACTTATCAAGTTGTATTTGATAAGCATTGATCACAATACTTTACGAAGTTGTAAGGTAAAATCGTGGACAAATTTTCTGGTGTGAAAAATAATCACCACTGCATGAATTCTGACATAGTCGCTACTCTTTAGTATATATTTTAATAATATACATAATAAATTTCCAAAAAAATATGTGCATAATTAAACAAATTATGAGATTTTATGTTAAGCAGTGTTTTGCCTTACGGCGCACTGATGATAACGTCAACGTGTGAAAAGCAGAGTCTCTTCTTTTCTTTGCTAAAAATAAAGATTGATTAGTTCCAATTAAATTTAGAAATTTCTTTGATGCATACTAAGAATACTTAAACAGTTGAAGGACAAATATGGCTATATACCATCTTCTGAAGACTTTTTACAATGCAAGTTAGTTACAAGATTCTCACCATAACACCATAATTTAACTTATAGGCAATCTGACGATCGGCAATGACAGAGTCTTTTGCTATTGCAATAGCAGTTTGCCCGTACGCTTTGTTATACTCGGGGACTCAATTAAAAAGACTTAGATGAGAAAACTCTCATTTCATTTGTATACTAAAGATTTTGTAATATTTTCATATTTTTTCTTGTGTATTCATACAATAATAATTAAAACCTCTTATAAGGTGTCATTACAACCTCTATATCAAACTTAACTGCTATCCGGTGCTTCGTAACGTCATCAAACATTTCTCGTGTGTTGTTTTACCACTTTCCAATTTCAAAAAGCTCGTGAAACTGCCAAAAAAACTAACTAAATGCATTAATCATTTCAAAAAGATCACAAAATTAATTGTTGAATCGACTAAGGATACTTTTTATCCCAATCTTATGTATTTAATGTTTTTATTTCGAATTAAACTTGAGTATTCTCCAATGCAGCCTTGCGTATTTGGACGTATCCTATGCACATTCACAGATTTTCAAATCTTTATTTTGTCTATAGATTACCCAAATTATTACGATGTACTTTAATATGATAACAAATAGTTAATGAATATCTCAGCTTGGTGCGTCCTTTGCTTTTAGAGAAAACCGCTTTGTCCAAGATTTTACTTGACAACCCTCGTAAATGAATTTGACCAATTAAATGTGTCAGCAGTTGGTATACATCACTGAGATATGCTAAGATACTGTAATCGTTCAGCCCAGCTTCTGATTAATGAGCCATTTCATATCTTCAGTCAATGTGTTTGAAGATTAATTTTTTTTTTATTCGTAGTAATAAATATCTGGAAATACTTTCTCAAGATATTTTCATACAACCTGTGATATTTAATATTTTCAATCCTGTAAAAAGCGTTCAAGGTAGTTCACGGTAGAGCGCTTGCTTTGTAATCGAGAGGTCGTAAGTTTGTGTCTCGACTGCGTCTTACCTAAGTCGATAAAAATGGGTAGCAACCGTTCCTTCGCCATGCGCTTTGAAATGAAAGTTGCAGGTCTTTAGGATTTGACGTTAACAACCGAGGACCAGTGTCAGCGGCAGGCATTGGCACGATAAAGATCCCTCACTGCTTAATGGCCCTGAGTGCCGAGTGAAGGTCCAATTTTGAAGCCCTTCCCTGGCATACGATGACGTCTCCATATGAGGGAAAATTCTCGATAGGAACGTTAAAGAATGAATAATCAATCAATCAATCATGTAAAACGGTTTTTTAACCCTATTTACCCTTTTTAGCCGCTCTATACCGTATAGGCAGATTTTTTTTAGGTGCCTTGAAAATCAAGCATAAGACTTTACTTTAATTGTTTTGAGTAGTGGGATAATGAATGTTAGACAAAATAAACTCACATTCTCTTAAAATATGTCAATGCAAAACATAAAAAAATAAGATCATATTATTTAAATACTAATAAATTAACTTATTTCTAAACATATTTTTTTAACATAAACATGAACCTTAAAGAAAACTTTCAGATAAATTTTAAAAAATAAAGATAAATCAAATGTCCTTACCTCTTGGCTGATTTCCAGCCGTGGGATATATTATTACATGATGTATGCTGACTACGGATCTCAAATTTACCCACCAGGTGGCAGGACTCTCAGTTCGTCCTGAGGTGCTTGAATTATTTTTCAGTCCACCGACTTTTATACCCAAGGAATGCATGGTATAGATTTTTGGAATGTATATATATGTTTGCCATTTTTCTTTTCGTAAAGCAAGGTTTTCTAAATGAATAATTAAAAATCCAAATAATAAGTTAACAGTTTATATTAAAAACATTAAGAAACTTGAAAATGTTTTATTTTGATATGTTAATCAGGTTTATTTTTGATTACATATTTGATACACATTTTACAGTGATCGAGTGTTAATGCATGTGATTAGTGAGAAAAGAGGTACAGAAGAATTGTACAAAAGACATTTATTGTTTTAAAACTTTATGCATACAGTAAAAGAACCAATTATGAATGCTTGTCAGCCGTTCAATTTTTAGATATCTTTTTTTTTTATCTCTATCACGCTTAAATAATTTTAATATCTTACCGTAAGCCAAAGTCACCGTATGTATAATACTAAAAATAAGGAGCACAACGATAAAAATCATAATTGAAGGCTTCTTGAAATTGTTGCAGTGTCGGAATCAAAACAACTAAATGTAGAAAATGCTACGTATGAAATTTTACATCAAGTATATATAGAGTATGTTTCGAGGAATTGTTTTTCCATGAAGTTTTTTAATAGAACTACGTGATGTGCTTTTCCATCGTTTTCATAGTTATGAAACTATGAAACTATGATGAATGCCAATACTAAAGAAAAATCTGTATAACATCTTTTGCCACTCGGGGTTTACATCAACAATACTGTTTCTTAAATTTAATTTAGGGACCTTTTCACAAAACATGGATTTCAAAGGAACCTTAGACAAGGTTACATTGTTAATATTTTCAATGTTTTTAATTATTTTCAGATAAAGACGAGTTAGCTGAATAAATGTTAAATGAATACACCTGAGATATCAATGACGATTGCATTCTTCTTCACACCATGACAAACACGGGCTCTGTTGTCGATAATATTTACGTCTTCCTGGGTGCAATCAATTAAATGTTTAACTCAAGGTACTCTCCAGTTGACATGAACTGAGAAGATTGGGGACAGGCCTTGCTTTCTTGCATCAATGTATTGATGTTAATTTATTTTTTTCATCAATACACAAGAATTCAACTTCTCTTAATTATTATGGATTATGTTTTCTTCCTGGATTGTTTGATGTGCCTTTCGTGGATTTATCCCTCATATGGAAACACCGCTTATTACCAGAAGAGGTCTAGGAATTTTACCAATGCTCAAGTTTTTGAGCGGTGGGCATCATTTTCTCGCCAACATCTTCTGTAACAGCATTTAATGGAGGGGCAAATGGATTGATATGGTTAGGTTAAAATTAAAATGACGGAGGCAATCCAAGTTCTACGAAAAAAGTATATTTTTTTTGGACCAATCTAATACCATGCTCAACCAGAATTAGCTATTTTTAGAAATTACATTAAGTAACTTTTAAGTAATTTTTAAAAAGATTTTTTTCTATGGATACAGTACTGTTTTTCAAATCAAAATTTAATATTATGATATAGATTTATAATATTATTTTTTTTCATCTATTTTTTTTTCTTCAGAAAGCAGATGAATTAGAAAATATGCCAAATATATCTTTTTTAATTGGGAAATTAATATCGGTGATATTATGAAGTGAGTTAGAAGTTACATCATTTAAA